GGCAGGCCTAAAATTTGAAAACCATGGAACAGAGGTGGAAGAGGAACATAGCATCTTGTAGAGCAGACAATTCTCTTTCGAATGGTATATGACTGATGTAAAAGCATGGGATTTAGATGAAAATTTTTGGTTGAAAAAAAGCGACACTATTTATTTATGAGACAACCTAATAGATAAGTTACCAACCTTGGAGTAAGGGATCGCTGATCACGACAGAGGCCTCAGACCAGTTCTGCGATAAGGTGAATTTTCATAAAAATTCATAATTCGAAAGTCAGGACAGAAAGGTATCAAAACGTACTTCGCACTCGATTTTGAGCGAAATTTATAAGCTATAACGTGGAAATATAACACGATTACTGAGTTATGAACACACAACTTTCGCTCCAGGCGGGACTCGAACTCGCACCTCTCACTTACCAGTCAAGTGCACTACAAGTTGCGCTATTGGAGAGTCGTTCAAAAAAGGTATCAAAACTTTTAGTAAAAGAGAGCTCTGAAGGTAAGCTTGCAGTAATTTAAGAGCGAAAAATAATCAATGAAAGAAGTAGTAATACAAAACCGGTGCCCCGGTAGCGTAACTGGTAGCGCACTTGCCCGGAAAGCGAGAGGTGCGGGTTCTAGTCCCGCCTGGGGCGAAAGTTTTGTTCACAACCCAGCATTCTTGTGAAACATTCGCAAGCGAACTGCGGCCTTAAAACAGCAGTTGACAAGCTGAGAAGGAAAAGTATTAGGAAGGAAAGTGTAAGTTTTTTCGTGATAATTAACAATGAAGGAAGGCTTCTGAAAAAGGCTTCCGAATTTCAAGAGCAAAAAAGGATGCATTGAAAAAAGCAGTAAAAGGTTTCAAGTTAGTAATAATATTAATAAGTTACACTGAGTTCTCTGGACCTGACCAAACTTGGGAGAATCTCTGACAGATTTAGGGATCTCTGACGGATTTATTTCTGCTTGAAGCATTTCCGTGATTTTCATTATTCGATCTTTTTGGTTAGCAATGAAGGCTGGCAACGTCTAGCAGACTTGAGCCACGACAGGGCGATCTCGCTGTCACTGAGCACGTTGATCTGTTGGAATCCTTTTTGATGGCCGTTGTGATTGTCCTAGCGAGTCGCATCGCCATGAGAATGGCTACCATTTCTAGTCGTGGTATTGTCTGCCTGGTTTTCTTAGGTGTGGGACGCGTTCCACTGATTAGCGGTGAAACTTCTCTAGTACCTTCGTGGCGGATGAAAGCGCAGGTGGCTAAAGCCTTTGAACTCGCGTCTGCGAAGACCTACTCTGGTCAAACCGAACCAACAGTGAATCTCTTTCTCAACGTCCTTGAACGGCCACGATCTGTTATTTTGATCAGTCAGTCAGTCAGGTGTGATGCTTCAGCGTTTTCGCTTCTTCTATGCATCGCTTAGCCTTGATGATGAATAATTACGTCTGCCCATGCGGGTGTTCATATCAATAGGATTTTGAATTGTGTATTTTTGTAAGTTATTTTTTTACCAGTTCCTACGAGGTCAGATGTCAAGTCATGCAAATGTTGTTACGCTACACATATGTACAGAGATATTTTGAATTACAGTTTTATTTAATAAAACTACAATACGTGTAAAAAAATCAAAACACTGTTCCTACGATGGTCCAGTGGTATGGTAAGATTTACTGAGAACAAAGTCAACCACCAAGCAATGTATCAGAGGCAAAAAACCGATGCAAGCTACAATGACAAGCTTATATATTGTGTGCGCGTTAAAGAGACACATTAAACCAAAAGCGTTGCATTTCTACCAAAGCATGTAAACAAATCTGGGAAATCGAGGCTAATGCAAAATACTGTAAAATGATAAACAAGTCGCGATCGCTCGCGACACTCCCGCCGCCACTAAGCAATTAACACATTGACGACAACGCGAGTTTTGGCTTTTTTGGCCACGTGGGACCGCGGCGATTTTGCGGGCGCGCTCGCCTCAGGTCGTTCAAGCAGATTTTGAGTGATAAATACACAACTAATGATCAATTCAAAACCAAATCAGTAAATTGTAATGAGCGCAACCTAACCAGGGGTACAGTAGTGGAATTTCGATCGAAAGACATGGAGTAACAATGAAAAAGCGAAATTGGTCAGAACTAGCTGCAATGGACCTCAAAAGCAATTTTACGTTGATTATTCCAATCAAAACACATATTGTCATCCCTAAGGTTCCTTATCTACTTCTACTACTATTTAATCTTCACATTAATAAAAAGAAAAAGTAAACGAAAAATTTATTGAAATGAAGATTTCGTATGGTTCAGAAATCCTCCTCTAAATTAAAGTATACGTGACCATTCTAAGGGCCACTATGTTTGTAGCTACGTCAAGGTCTCTTCCATGGAATGAATACAAGAAACTTCTAAAAGAATCAGGCGTGCGCGAAAAAAATGAGTGTAATGGGTGCGGGGGATATATATCCCGCACGGTCCGACATGGCCTGCAATGCGCGGGATATATATCCCCCGCGTTGTCGTCAATGTGTTAAACAAAAAACAGCAGCAAATTATACGAATTACAAAGTTAAGCGATCACTTGGTAGTACTTGAAAGAGCTCCTCCGGGCTGCGTTCCGCCCGCGATGATGCCGCTGCCTTTTAACTCGCTCGACCGATGAAACGTCCAAAGCATCCCTCTATCGATTCGTTGGCAGAAATGAATGAAGTGCCTCAGCGATGGATTGAACTTTCCGACAGCAAGGGAATACCATGAACGAGCGGAATTGCCAGAGCAGGTTGAGTAGTAGATGATTGTCAATTGACACGAGGCGACAGCGGAATAATCAGACGTCAGAAATGAATACAGAGAAAGGCGACAGGATTGGTAATGTTTGGGGCGGGGAGGTGGCAGGTGGTGACGACAAGGAAACGTGCACTGATTGCGAGCGCAGTCAGAGCACATTTCCGGGGCCGCGGCCGACCATTAAAGCTTGCGCCGCTTGGTTGAAGAAGCAGAGGCCTTGGCTGGGCAAAGGAGGACATTGTGACTCCCGCTGCAGAAAGAGCAGGAAATTCCGCAGTCTTCAGGATGGCGGGGCTGAAGGCATCTGTTGCAGAGACGGAGGTTCGAGGCTTGTACAGCGCGTGAGACTGGGTCTACGAATCTGTAGCATCGCCCAGTAGGGTGATTGTCTTTGTTATCCTCGTACGTACAGAAGACGCAGCTGGATTTGGGTTTTGTTCTCTCTAGCAGAGCGTCCAGCTTGTTGTTCACGATTTCAGCCTGACGGTTAAGTAGGTCCACGATAGCATCGATCTTGGCGTTGAATGACATAGTGAATATGTTCAGCTGATCCTTAAGATCCTTGACAGCGTCAACCAAGGGCTCAATATGAATAGCGACGTCGACTTCATCCATCGCTCAGGGCGAACAGCGGTACGATGAATGAATGGCGGACTGTTGGAAGAGGCCGAAGAGGGAATATTGTTGATGGCAATGCTGATATGAATGTTGCTATTACGCTCTCGATTTCAAGCTAAGAGCCTTGCTAAAGCAGCTTCTATGTACAGGGGCTATTGATGAGTAGAAGTAGACTTCGCCTGTTAATCGTTTCTTCGCGACCTGTGCACAGCCAAAGCGCGTTTTACGCAACTGGTCGTGTGTTTCACGAGCAACCATGTGATGTGAAGTGCAGAGGCCGTAATCTTCAGGGTAAATCCGAGAATTTTCGGTGTTACCTGGATGACAGCAAGAAGTATTGCTGGTCCCATGGCGTATATAGCCGCTGCTATTACTGCGGCTGTTCCGAAAAGGACAAGTGAAGTTTTCCAGTGGTTCTTAATCGTATCTATGATAGGCGTGAAGTCGGGAATTCTCCAGTCCTGAAGCCATGTGGACGACGGTGTCCAGGAGCTCACATGTGACTCAAAAATTTGTTCGTCACTGATATGTGGAAGAAATGCAAGAGTTCCTTGTAACGGTATTTTTTGCAAACGCTCGTCGCATTCCACACTACATTCTTGGCGCACCACTGCCTGCTGAAAATCAAGGGCCAGTAGAGTGGTTTTATTGGTGACATCGCACTCGATTGAAAATGTGTGTTGCTCGCAATGGACTACTATCCAGGAATGTATGTTCGTATGGCAAAACGCAGTTAATGTGGCTCCTTCTTGACAGTTGTAACATCCAGTTAACGGTGCCAACGATATGCTGCAGTTTTGCTGGACGATGTACTCGGCGCTGTCGCGCATGTAGGTGGACTCTAATGCGATGATCATTTCTTCTCTTGACGACAATGCTGCCAAAGAGTTGCCCTTCTTAAGCAGTCTCATGAAGGGACTGGAGATAGGAAACACGTGGGAGATGTCAGCTCGAATGTTCGTAATCGATTCATCCGGACAGTTACATTTAGCCGGAGATACCTCTACGTCGCAGGCACAGATCATTTTATTCCTGCAGTGATGGAAACGTTCGTGGGCTTC